GGAATAATGGAAGGACTACAAAAAAAGGTGATAAGCCAAATATGTTTTACAGTGATGAAGAAGGGAGCTTATATAGCAGAACGGTTATAGAATATTTGGAAGGTGAAAAAATTGAAATACACAGAACACGAGGGCATCCAACTTTTGCCGAGCGCTTTATAAGAACATATGTCGCGTTTGCATGCAACTGACTTTAACAGCCATGTTCGTCCATTTTGGATCAAGTGCCTGGATTTTTGACGGTTTCAGCTTCTAGCCTGTACGAACAGCCATGGCCTCACAGCCATGCACAGGCCTTACCTCAGACGAAGAAGACTGGGTCAGCCAGGTCAGACGCTGTGAGCAGCAGCTCATAGACCTGATCAGCCAGGATGGTGACCTAGTCGTCGAGGCTTTGTCCAACATACCTCCAGACGCTCGCGGTCGCCTTCAGACCATGCAGACCTTGGCCGAGGAGGTGGTAGTCCAGGCAGCGTTCGGACAGAACATCATCATAGACACTGGCTTAGGCTCAGCCTCTTGGTTTCCCATGGAGCTAGACGACGATGAGGTTCAGCCGGATGCAGACGCAGCACCGTCCTCTCAGCCGCCTCCTAGTCTGCCACTGACACAGACGACACCGTCTTGGGCAGACCAGCTGGATGGAGACGATGGTGCTCCTGAGCCCCTTCAGCCAGCTCAGCCGCAGACAGCCGCAGCAGCCGTGCCTGAGGCAGCAGCCCAGCTGCTGCCGCCAGTCCTCACAGTGGTTACTCAGGTACAGCAGCCGCCTCAGACACCTCAGTTGCCGCAGCCGCAACCACAGTCTCAGGTGCAGTTACAGCCGCAGGTTCAGCCTCAGACTCAGGTGCCTCCTGTGGGCCCTCTGAGCAAGGCAGGTACCAAGGGACAGACGGTACCAGCCAAGCAGCCGCCAACCAAGCCGATGCCTCAGCCAGCTCAGGTTACACAGCCTGTGCCGCAGCCTCAGCAAAAAGCCATGCCAGCTCCAAGGCCAGGCCGTGCTTCGCAGACCGCCCCTGCCCAGCCTCAGGTGCAACAGCATGTGCAGCAGCAGCCAGCATACCCTGCTCAGCCCGTGCCTCAGCCGCAGCAAGTGCACCCAGGCCAGCCTCCGGCAAAGGCGCCCACGGTGCCCCCGCGCCGCCACTCAACACAGTCGTGATCCGAGGCCCAGGGCAGCAGGGCACACCAGACGTCGGGCCGATAGCAGGCCCAACTAGACAGCCACTGCAGCGCCCCCTTCAGCCCACGCCAGCCCAGCCCTTCGTTGCTGACCAAGACGCTCTCAGCCGATTCCCAGACGAGCTAGTCGGCTACAACGCTGGCATTTATTATGCTCGCTATGCAGCCGTAGGCGACCAAGGACTCTTGCCGCAGCACAGACCTTACAGCCTGGCGTTCGCGCCATTAGTCTCAGGCCGTGAACCCAGACTTCCGCAGTCCCTTAGGGACCACGGTCACACGACCGATGGCTTCTGCCTTCACCTCTGTCCTATTTGCCAGAGGCGCAGTTGCAGCCGTGCTTTAGCCCTAGGCAAGAAGGGTGGAATAGCACACACCCACCACGACTGCCCGGTGTGCCATGTCCCAAGACATGGTCGCCGGGCAAGGCAACCTTAGGCACACCAGCCCGGCCGCAGCCTCAGCATGCTTGCGTTTGTCACTGGCCGCTGTTCTGCCCTGCATGTGCTCTTTGTTTCAGTCAGGTCACTCAGCCTACAGCCCCAGCCAGTGGCGGTCGTAGACAGCCCAGGCTTAGACAAAATCCGCGGACCAGGCCGTGGACTCAGGACATCTCTCCGGCCTAAATGCACACTTCGCTGGTCTGTCAGGAGCCTTACGCTGAGGCAGTGTAGCTTAGCCAGGCCACGCAGACACAGCTTTTCTCATAGCCGCGAGCCCAGCCTTCCCCAGACAATGGACGTAACTTGAAAGGGATATTTTGGCTTGCGGCTAGTCTGGCCTCTGTGCCGCCTAGCCTCTACTCAGACAAAGGCCCCGCCCTCCCTCCAAAAGCAGGGGGAAGCCTTTTGGCCAATGTCTGCTAGGCACCAGCGCTTGAGCGCCAGACAAAACAGTATGGGCTTGAGCCCCTTGTTCTTTGATGCTTTGCCTCTCGTACTGCTGGCTTGAGCCTTGCGCTATTGTTGTGCCTGGCCCTGCTACGTCTCGGCTTGAGCTGGGACTTTGGGGCAGTCCTTGCGGACTCGCCTAGGGCCAGGCTCTTACAAGCGGGCTTGAGCCCTTCTGACACAGCTTGTGCTGCAGTCATAAACCTGCTGCCCAGGTAGCCGCGTCTAGCCTGTGGCCAGGCTCTCACTGCCGGGCTTGAGCCCTTTGACTCAGCTTGAGCTGCAGTCCTTTGTGCCTTGTGCCCAGGTTGCTCTGGCACCAACAGGCCAGGCCCTTTCCTGTCCTGTGGGCAGCACGGCCTTGTGGCCCAGGTACAGTCAGCACGCAGACTAGCGCGCCTTGAGGCCTGCGCCAACCACCTGTAGTCTCGTGCTGCTCCATTCGTGTCAGGACAAAGAGGATGTCGGCTGTCAGTGACAGCAAAGTCACCTTCAAGGCAAAAGCCTTGCAACATGGGGTGCCTCAGGCGAGAATTGACGCCTGGGAAACTCAGGGCATAGCCAGCTATAGCCAACTGCTGTTCAGAGTGGCGTCTGCACCGAACGCCATAGACTCTGCCAAGCTTCAGTCGCTGTTAGACAATATGCAGCCCAAGGCCACAGAAGCGGTCACCTCTGCAGTGAACCGCCTTCTTTTTGAAGCAGGGACCTTTGTCGTCTCAGAACTTAGGAGCACCTTGCAGGGGCCCTCTGCCGAGCCCAGCCGTCGTTTGTCGACACAAGAGAGGGCCAGCCGCTTGCAGGCTCTCCAGGCTAAACTTGGCTCTTTCCGGATCTCAGGACAGTACGAACCCAGTCACCAACTAGTCGACAGCTTCAGTGCAATGCTAGCCGACCAAGCCTTGCGGCATGTGCCCCTCAACAGGTGCAGTACGAGGGAGCAGGAGGTAGCCAACGTCAGACGGGACGAGCACTTGTTGCGGCTCGAAAACTCTGCCCTCCGTCTAGCTAGCAAGCCGCAGCCGCTCAAGGCGGACCTTTCCACAGAGCTCAGAGTCTCTCAGGCGCTTAGCAGACGGGGATTAGCCATTGAAATGGCAGGCATAGGCTCTTTTGACGTTCACGAAGCCTATAGTCGCAGCCTGCTAGAACACTTGCATAGGCCAGCCCCGCCGAAATTCGAGGCGCCAGGCATCGACAGCCTCCTTCGCGCAGACCGTGAACTTTGGCTGCGAGTCTCTGAGGAAGTCGGCAGCAACTTTGCAGCCCCTGGCCAGGCATCAGCCGTAGACGATGCCATTCGTAAGTGGCAGGGCAGCGTGCAAGTCACTTACTTTCTCGTGCCTGTGCCCAAGCCCGACAAGCCAGACAAGCCGCCGCTGAAGCGGACATGGGAACAGTCTTCCTACTCAGACGCTCCAGGCAAAGGTGGGAAAGGCAAAGGAAAATTCAAGTTCATGACGCAGGCGAGGCAAGCAGGAAAGGGTGGCAAGAAAGGCAAAGGCAAAGACAAACAGCAGACGTCCATGCCCTCAGCCCTCAAGGGTATGGATCCCAACTATCAAGGACAGCCCATCTGTTTTAACCATAGCCTGCCGCATGGTTGCCAGGAGCAGACGTGGGACACCGAGCACGGCAAGGCCTGCAGGAGAGGCCTGCACATTTGCATGAAGTGCCATGGAGATCACAGCTTCTCCGCCTGTGACAAGTGACAGGCTTATTACGGGCCAGCTGAACCCGTCCAGTCACAGGACGTTCCCACTGATGTCACTGCAACTCCCACAGCCACAAAGGCGCAAAGGGCACCTCAGACGCAGCCACAGGCTCAGCCTCCTGCAGACGCCGAGTACAACCATCTTCAGACCCCGTACCCAGACGCTAAGCCAGCGCGCAAGCCTGTCAGGTCCCTGTTTGTAGAGTTGTTTGCTGGCACAGGCAGACTCTCTAAAGCCTTCGCGCAGTTAGGCCTGCAGGTTCTTGCCATAGACACCTGTCGGGTGGAGACCGTGCCCTCTTTGGCGCTAGACCTGTCTCAGGCGCCCAACCAAAGGCTAGTCTTCGAGCTGATTCGCTCGAAAAGAGTTGCAGCCGTGCACTTGGCACCCCCGTGCAGCACCAGCAGCGCGGCCCGAGCGATCCCTGCTGGCCCCTTTGCACCTCAGCCCCTGCGCAGCCCCCAGTGCCCAGACGGCCTGCCAGGGCTTAGTTTTGTAAATCGTAGCAAAGTTGCAGCAGCCAACAGGCTTTACAAATTTGCTTGCGATGTGATCGTAGCCTGCCAGGAATCAGACGTTGTCTGGTCCCTAGAAAATCCTGAGGCGAGCCTCTTTTGGCTTACCAGCCCAGTTTTAGCCACCTGGAGACGCTTCAGGCAGCACTTTTGCTTTGGAACGTTTGATGCTTGTGTGTATGGGGGACTTAGGAAAAAGCCCACCGCGTTTTGGGCAAACATTCCGGCAGTCAAGTCCTTGTCCCTCAGGTGCCACGCAGGCTTACAACACAGCCACGCCCCCTAGGCCCGTCAGGGAGCCGGTTGGGCTACTGCCGAGGAAGCGGCCTACCCAAGAGCTCTCTGCAGACGTTGGGCAGCCTTCGTCACTCAGTCCTTGGCAGACCAAGGAGTCCTGGCAGCTCAGAGCCACGAACAAGGCACAGCCAGGTACGCGGCACAGGAACGTGCGGCCCTGGGCCTCTTCCCTAAGGCTACCCACGCACCCGTGTCCGTAGACCCCTTCCAGAACAAACAGTGGGTGCCCTTGCAGTCGCAGGCTGAACGGACACGGTTCGTGCCAGGCACGCGCCTCCAGGGATCAGAATTCCCCAAAGGCTCCACGACCATCACAGTCGTCGTGGAAGAAGGGCAGTGGTGGGCTTTAGTCGGACAGCCAATAGAGCCTCAGATATTTGCGGAGCGAGCTCTACAAAGCCAGCACCCACAGTGCGCCCTGCCACCGTTGCCTCCGGCCTTAGACAGGACAGTCTATGACTTAGGCCACATGGACCTATCTGACCTCCACAGACTTCGTTGCCAGCGCCTCAAAGCCATGTGTGACATGGCCATGGACTTACAGACGAAGGAGGAGTCTGATCATCGCAGCTTGCCTGCACATATGCAAACCATCCTCAGAGGCAAGCGCGTTCGTCTCTTTGAGACTTTACTGCGCGGTCTGGATTACCCAGACAAGACTCTGCCGGACGATATCAGGCATGGGTTTCGCATCACAGGCTGGCTGCCCGACACTCAGACTAGGCCAGGCAAAGTCGTCCCGCCCGCTTTGCATAGGGACGAAGTCTGGGGCCAGAGGCAACAGAACAACGCCAGCATGTGGGCCCGGTGCCGGGCCAGCGGTGATGCTGCCCTTGACAAAGCCTTGTGGCAACAGAGTCTGGAAGAATGTAAAGCCGGTTGGGCTGTGCTGGAGACAGGACACAAGCAAGCACCGTTGTCTTGTGTGCTCGGTAGACGCTTTGCTGTTCAGCAAGGCGAAAAGGTCAGACCGATTGATGACCTGTCTGTGATTGGTGTGAACAGTACCTTAGGCACAGACGAAAAGATCGTGGTACAGCCTGCTGCCAGCACAGTAGCCCTGGCACTGCATTTGCAAAGCCGCTGCCTGTCGCCCTCTGCCAAGGCCAGTCAGCCCTCAGGCCTCAAAGGCAGGACTTTTGACTTGAAATGGGCCTTCAAACAATTAGGCATACATGAGGATGACTTGCCCTACGCCAAAGTCACAGTCTGGAACGCAGACTGGCAGCAGCCCGCAGTCTTGTCCCTTAAGGCTTTGCCTTTTGGAGCCACTGGCAGCGTCCACGGTTTTAGTCGTTGTAGTCTTGCCTTGTGGCACGTAGCCGTCAGTCTGCTGTTGCTGCCGCTGACAGTCTTTTTCGACGACTTTACGTCTGTCACAGTTGCAGACGACTGCAAGAGCGTGACAGACAGTTTCCTGCTCCTGCTTAAGGTCCTCGGGTGGCAGGCAGCTCTAACGGGGAGCAAAGCCACTGACTTCGCTGAGTCCTTTGTTAGCCTTGGCATAGCCTATCTGCTGCCGCGCACCCCTCGTGGCCTGCTCCGTGTACACAACACTGAAAGCAGGCGCAAGGAAGTTGCAACGACGTGCCTCAGAGCATTGCAGAACAACAGCCTCTCCCCAGCCGAATGCCTCGCCTTCGCAGGCAGACTCAGGTGGCTGGAGGCACAGACCTTTGGCCGTGCAGGCCGTTGGGCTTTCCGCGTCATACTTCAGCATGGGCTGCGCCCTGGTAGGCACAGACCTGCTCAGCTCACTACAGCCTTGCGCGACGCGCTCTCTTGGACGCTTGAAAATGTCCCTGACGCGGCACCCAGGAGCTTCAGACAGCCAGCCACCTCTTCCAGGCATGTCTTCACGGACGGATCTTTCGAGCAAGGACTTGGAAAGCTGGGAGGGGTTCTCTATGGGTTAGATGGCACAGTCGCTGACTGGTTCAAGGCTACAGTCCCTGCAGACGTTGTAGACTCCTGGCTTAGGGAAGGGACCAAGCATCCCATCCTGCAGTGTGAGCTGCTGGCCGCGTGTGTGGCAGCAGCAGTCTGGGGCAAACAGCTAGAAGACCAAGCAGTCACTTGGTGGCTGGACAACGACGCCTCCAGACACTGCCTCATCTCAGCCAGAGGGTACCCTCAGTCTAATTACAGGCTGGTGCAGTCCATGCTGCTATGCGAACAGAAGTTCGAGATTCAGTCATGGTTCGCCAGAGTCCCGAGCATCTCCAACCCAGCCGACGCACCCAGCCGGGATGAAATTCCTCTGACTTTGCAGCAAGCCAAGCAAACAGAAGTGAAGGTGGGGTGGATCAGATGTCTAGTCCGCGGTGCCGTGCCCCTAGTCCTCTTGCCGACCGGGTCATTGAAGGAAGATGGGGGGCAGAATGACGTTTTGCCTCCGCCTGCCTGAACAGCCGGTCGCAGTCGCTGTGGCAGTCGGTCCAACAGACGGACCAGTCCGCAGCAGACTAGAAGGCCCGGACTTGAGACCGGACTTGTGACCCCACCTTCGGGAAAAGAATGCGCGTGAGCTGCTTTACACAGTAGAGAACTGTTGCTGTTAAGTCGCGTTTGCATGCAACTGACTTTAACAGCCATGTTCGTCCATTTTGGATCAAGTGCCTGGATTTTTGACGCCCGCCCTCCACTACCCATGAGAAGGGCACTTGACCCCAGTTGGGAGTGTGGTTTTGGTTTTGGCACAGTCAAGCGCAGCCGCGGTAGCCTCACGTTGCCCTGGGAGGAAGACACCTTTGCTTTCATAGCCAGTGACGACACCTTTCTTGACAGACTGCAGACGGACCTGCTGTCCGTTCCTGACCCAGTGCCGCTACCTCAGAGACCCGAGGCCACGTCTTCACAGACGCTGCAGCCGAGTCAGCTGCCGCAGCCGCAACTCAGGCGCCTTAGCCAGTGGAAGCCTCAGGACAGCCAAGCCGAGCGACAGGCAGCCCTGTCCAAGTGGAGCCAGCTCTTGCGAGCCACTCCGCATTTCTTCCTCCCGCAGACGGTCAGTGAAGTGGCAGACCAGTGCAGCCGCAAGGAGCTCGGAAACTTAGACCTGAGGTTCGCCAAGAAAAGTACAAACACTTTGCTCAACAGGGTCAGCAGCTTTCAGCGCTTTGCAGCCTGGACGCTGAAAGCCTTTCCTCACGAGCCTCTCAGTGAAGCCCTGGTTTTTCTTTACTGTCAGCATGTAACAGCCAAACAGCCAGAGAGCAGCGCACCAGACCAGTTCAGTCAGTCGCTGAACTTCGTCGACGGAACCCTGGGACTACAGACGCCGGCAGCCACCTTAGTCAGCCCCAGAGTTCAAGGCTTGGCGCACCAGGCTTTGCGCAAGCAAAAGCCTCCTAAGCAGGCGCCAGCCCTGACGACAGACCGCTTTATAAGAACATATAAAGATAT